TCCTATTATAAAAGTGAAAAAAATCTCTGTTAGAACATAATGTTTTATGTAACATGTCTAGTCTATTGTTTAACAAAACATTTTATTGATACTTCATCAGGACAGACTTGATTATGAAGCAGGGCCAGCACTCACCCACATTTTCTTCTTTTGAATCCTTATGATGTTTTCCTGTACTATTTTCACCCTAGTCACAAGCTTATTAACTTGGGAATGAGGTGACAGTGCCTTTGTCTTCGAATCTTATAATTATAATTAATAGTAAGTTAAAGGGAAGCAGAAAGCTTATATTCAAAGTTTAAAGTAAAGTGACTTTGTGGTACTTAGGGCAGGTGCCAGGAAAATACTAAGTAAGAGCTCATTATTTGTATTAACTAGAACTTTGGGAAGACGTCTTTGAGAATGAAAGTCATTTTATGTCTACAAGAGGGACACCTATTTGGGGAAAGTGCTTGAAGAGAGAAATGGCACCGTCTTCAACTCAGCACACCCAGGGCCCAGCAGCACCCTTCTACTTGGGCCAGCAACTACTCTGTGCTAGTTGTAGACATGAAGGCAGAGATAAGAGTCATTGTGTACATACTGTCCACTGTTTCCATCAGTGCATTCCTAAAAGCTGGATCATGAAAGAAACAAACCCAAAACTTCCTTATGTTGATTTGTGAAAGTATTAGATATGGGGGCTGCATTTGCATCAGAGGATTTTATATCAAATAAAGCCCACCAATATTCAATGTCTATCAAAACCATATGGAAACATCATTTCTCTCTAAATATCTACAATTCTCATACTGAATTTACTACCCATGGTCCTTAAAAAAGGCATGCATGGATTATTTAAGTTAAACTATATAAAGGGCCAAGATACAATGAAATGCAATAATGTTTAATAATAACATTTCTGGAGAGCTGACCATGTTCAGATATTGTTCCAATTACTTTACATATACCAACTTCCTTTATCCTCACAACACAACGCCCTGTGAATCAGTTTTATTATCCCTCCTTTTCACAAATAAGGAAACTGAAGCTGAGAAATTGTACAGTGTAATTAGCCAGTAAGTAAGTTATAGGCCAATATTCAAATCTAGGCTGGCTGGCCTCAGGGACCCTGTCCTTCTGCACTATGATAATAAAAACTGAGTTTTTATTATGTGTCTGACACTATTTTAAGTCCTTTATATGTATTTACTTTTTTAATTCTCAAAACAAATCTATGAGAGCAATAGTGTATTCTTCCCATTTTTTCAGATGAGGAACCTGAGGATAAGGCTGGTGAAGTAGCTTATTTAAGGATTCGTAGCAAGTAAATACTGGAGCAAGAGTTCAAACTTATATCTGACTCTGGAGCCTACATACTTAAATACTGGTCTGCTCCATGACATGCAAATGCCTTAGAACAGGCAGAGGCGAACTCGGAGCCAAAGGCCAAATCTGGCCTACCACCTAACTTTGTAAACAGTTTCATTGGAACACAGCCTTATTCATTTCTGGTTTGTTTGTTGCTACGTTCGTGTTACAGTGGCAGAATGAGTAGTTACAGCAGAGACCATATGGTTCATAAGCCTAAAATGTTTACTCTCTGCTTTTTACAGAAAAAACTTGTCCCACCTCTGCTTTAGACCCTAAGTACTTCTTTCTTTTTGATCTATCACTCCACTGCTCTGAACCTAGCCAGTGCCCGACTTCCAGAAAATAATTATTGTTCAGTTCTTTAGAAACTTCAAGATGCATCTCAGTAATAGCTAGACAGAAATAAGGCAGCATTCTGCTTCATTTCTGCTCCTGTTGTTATCTAAAAGCAGAAAAGGCAATTCAGGTGCTGTTTCACTTTGCTGAGAGATGTGGCCTTTGGAGAGAATCATCTCAAATTCATGTTCTCACTTTGACACCTCTGGCTTCAGGACCTTGAGCAAATCACTTAACCAATGCAGGAGGGGTGCTACTCACCTGGTTTCTCCCGTAGCACCAGAACATTGCATTTTCATTTCTGGGGGCAGGGCTCTCCAGCCACCTTAAGGTTATTATGTAACGTGGTACCCTATATATTATGTCAGGTGGTATACTACACACACACACACACACACACACACACACACTGACAATTCCTAGATGTGTTCTTTAACTCAGAGCTTAATAATGACTAAATGACTTAAGCATTTATTGGGAATGATAATATCTTCGATCACTGAAATAAGAATTATTGATGTTTGCAGTACACACATGTAAATAATAAACTATAAAAAACTGAGCCTAAGTAGAAGAAGCTAAAGTCATGAGCCTCAAAGTCAAACTCAGCCTCCCCATATTACCAAATGTGGACTTGAGTAATTTGTGTGATATCTCAACCTCTGTTTACTTACTCATAAAATAACAAACTAAGAGTACCAAAGCCAATCACTCAGTCAGACACTTCACAACCACTTGTTGAGTAGCTACTATGTGCCAGTCACTGTTGGGGTTGCCTATACAGCAAACAAACAACACAGACCTCCACCCTCATGAGCGTTCATGCCATTTGTGAGAATTAAGCATTTACAACAAATTCTGGTGACATTACATTTTCAAACAATATTAAATATTTTTCCTGTTAATTGATGATGTTAAGGAAGAAATCTTGGTCATCAGTGCCTTATTATGGAGTTGATAGTGACACTGAACTTCTGTGTGTAGGGAAATACCTTCTGGTCCATGGCCCTTAATGTTCCCCATCTGGTCATCTTGCACGTGGAGTGACAGAGTTGGGATTTGCCATTCTTGATCAGGAGTCTTTGTCACTATGACCCTGTCTTTGGTGATAGATTTATTAGTAACTAATTCCATAGCAAGTATTTATTAATTGATTTTTATGAAATCATTAACATCCTTTTTACATAAGCTGGAAATACTTCCTTTCACTTGAAGACCATTTAATGGATGAAGTAAAATATCATATTCTTTCAAGATAGAATATCAGTGTCTGACTGAAATTTGTCCAGAATGATTAGGAAAAATAAAAAGGTATTTATAGATGAGAGATTTAATAAAAAAAAACAAAAAGAATCAATGTTAGGAAAAATATGTATGGGCAAAGAACCCAGAGTGCAATTAGAAGGATCAGTTCATGCAGAGTGGGTGCTGAAGCTGCATGTGGTTTGGAGGAGGCCCCAAAGTAGAAGGATTAGAAGAGTCTGGAAAAACACTTCCAAAACTGATTAACCACCAGTGAGTTTGGGTTTATATTTTTCCTTAACTTCCACAAATAGCTCCCCTCACAAAAGTCATTTGGGAAACTTACCTTTCCAAGTTCGTAAAGACATCAATGATTTTAGTTATCTTCACTTAAAGAGGGTAATTTATCATCTAGTCCAGTGAGCATGTGCCTGCCAGGAAAACTGTTGGCCAGCATACATCATACTCAGTAGCTTCAAGGATTTGGTTTGCCTTCTTATGTGTATGTGAATACAGAATTCATTCCAATCTGACATTTTTTACCTCTCATCATATTTTTCTTCTAATTAAGTTCTATAAATGTATCCTCTACCCAGTTGAGCTGTAATAAATTCCTTTCCTGAATTGGCCTTCTGAAAGTCACAAACCAACATTATGATGAATTGCAAAATGAATAATTTCCCTTCTACTCTGTTTATTTTGAGCAGCAAAGTTCTGGAGAAAAATGAAACAGTTTTACACTAGAAAGAAGTCCCACTCATAGCGGTCACATGCCTGTGAGCTGAAAGTTTCCTACACTGACTGACACCATCAGACTTCCAAAACTGTATGGGCCTAAATCAAGGACGTGATTTTTTTTTCTCAAAATTATGAGGTTAAATGGTATTACTAGAAGGGATCCATAGTGAACAAAGTTTTGCTCCCATGTATGTCCTGGAGTTACCCATGTAGTTATGGACTGAGACCATGATTTCTTTGAGAAATTGTACTTCCTAAAGTCTATATTGCAGAAGAAACAAATAAGGCTATTTTTAGAATCGATGGTGGGAGAAATGAATGTGTAATTTTTATTTTTTTAAATCGTTATTTGTTTCACTTCACTACATGGGCAAGTAAATGCATTATGCCTTTGATATGAGATAGCTATATTGAAATTAAACAAGTTGTTGCTAATATTTAGGCTGGGTTTTTAATAGGTGCTTAACATCGGGCACATTTGTTTCTATTACATGGTAAAGCATAGATGAAACTCTACATAAATAACATTACATCATTGCCATAGATATAATATCAGGCATTAACTTTGTAGACTCTTGATTTGAGAATAGTTTAGCTCCAATATTTAAATAGTCACAATGTTCATAGCCTGGTTCAAATAATACTGCTTAATGTGTTAATCATTAATTTTACATACTTCTTCCTTATTTCTCTCTATGCCTTTATAGTGTGAGAATTGCCTTATGCACTGAATTCATTACCGTAATTTGTGTACTGTGCATTAACTAAAGCCAGTTTAAGTGGCATATTAATACAAAATTTGATCTCCTTTGCTTTGTGTAGATAGTGGGCCATGGAGTTATTGTTTCATTTATAGTATTTATTATATACTATGATAATGTGGTTATGATTCATGATCTTTTCCTGGATAATGCCTGATTTAAGATAAACTGTAGTCTGAAAATAATTTTGATTCTCTATAATAAGCATGGCTACTGGTTTCAATATCCTAACAACAAATTACCATTAACATAACGTTTTCTCTTTAAAAGAAAAAGCAGAATTACTGTTTTCAACCCAGAATAAAGATAGGAGCATTCATCTAAACCGACTATCTCATGCTTCAGATGAAATATCTGAGATCCAGTGAAATTAATTAATATTGATGGTGACCAAAAACTATAAGCATTCGAGTTACAGCCAGGACATAGTATCTGGATCTTCTGAGCCAGCACCCTGTAAGCTGTCCTGCTTTGCTGAAACAGGATAATCTCCACCATTTCATTTCTTCATGATGTGAAGTCATTCCCCATTATTTTCCCATAACTCTTTTCTTCCTTCTTCCTGTGCAGTGTCATCATGCACCCCAGCAAAGATATCCTAGTCTCCTGTGGGGAGGACCGCCTCTGGAAGGTGCTGGGGCTCCCCAAAGGCAACGTGCTTCTCACAGGATTCGGCCACACTGACTGGCTCTCTGATTGCTGCGTCCATCCCAGGTCAGTACATGCAATTCCCTGAGCCAGCCTAATATCTACAGGAAGGCACTTGTTTACTCTTTTTATTTACTTTGCTGACCTTTTAAAAACACTACTTTTTTAAAGTACAAATAACATACAAAAAATTTATGTATTTAATATATACAACTTGGTAAGTAAGTTTGAAGATAAGTATGCATCATTGATAACATCACACCAGTATATATCATAAACATGTCATCTTCAAAGGTTTCCTCCTTTTAATTATTACTATATTATTATTATTATTATTATTAAGATCACTTAATATAAGATCTACCTATTTAGCAAGTTTTTAAATATACAGTACAATATTGTTGACTATGGGCTCTAAGCTGTACAATAGATCTCTTGTACAACAGATCTCTATACAAGGACTTACTTGTATAAATGAATGTACTTTGCTGGCTTTGATGACACTTTCTCTGTAGCCCCATATCCTCCACTGAATTGTGAAACATGTAGATAAATGCTCCTTTGGCTGTCATTATATTGACTTTAGATTGATTGCATTTGATATTTGGTGCAGGTAAAGTTTAGTCCACATGCTGATGCACTTAAAAAGAGGAATAAGCTTCCCAGGACAACTGTTACTAATGGTCCTTGCACTCACAAGCTCTGATAAGGCACGTGGATTTCTAGTCAGGAACACATGCCAGTGTTTACCTTGCCTCTGTTAATCTTGCAGTTTCTCCTTTTGGAAAATTAAGTGCCTACCAAAAAAGATCAGAAAGCAGTGATCAATTTCTTTAATGATTTCAATGACACTCAGATAATAAAGAGAAAAAACAGAATTGAAAGCATTTAGCTCTGAAATGTTCAGAATTCACTGATTTTTTGTACCCCAAAGGCCAAGGGCACAGAAGAAAAGATACCAATAAACACACAGATATGTTATTTCTAGTGGCAAAAAGTTCTGCCCACAGTTGCTTATGGTCAATTCCTACCCCCAATCCTGACTTTCTTCTCTTGTTCATCACTACACTTGACCTTTGTGAACAGTCTTGCATCTGGCTCTTTCTTACACTCTCTGGTCTAATTATCTTGGAGACTCACAGTTCTTGGTGCAATTTGTAAACCATTCCATTGGGAAATCTTGTTGTTAGGAAGACTCTATTGATTTATTTTCATATTTTCACAAAACTGTTTTTTTTTTAACCATCTTTGTCTTATCCTGGTATGAATGTCAATGAAATCAGATTGAAATAAAAATAAACTAAGTTCAGAAATCTGAGCTAATGAGAAGAGTAAACTTTTAAAACATTTAAAAAAATATTTCTCAAACTATAACTTATCATTAGTACTGGATATTTGAACTTAATTGTTGAATGTAGTACACTCCATATCTGATATGTAGATAAAGAGAACTGCACCACCCCTCACATCTCAGGGACATAAAGCCGATCTTGCAAAGCAGAGGCAACACAATTAGACCTGTAGCCTATCACTTATGTAGCTGCTAGGCGTGCTAATCAGATTTCCATAATGCCCCGTTACCATGACAGCTCGTGACTCAGAGGTTTTCTCATTAGTACTTGACCAGCACACAGTCCTTTTAATAGATCTTGTTTTCCTGCTCAATTACTGAAATTAAAATTAGGTGAAATACATCATTATTCACTCATAATATGAATTTACATTCAGTACTTTTTTTTGGCAGACCTTCAGTAAAATGCAGCTATACTGCATGGGATAAAAATAATTGGAGAAAATACATTTAGCCATTAAGTGTTTTTAAGTGAGAGATACTGAATAGCAAATGTTCTCTTTGTACAATTAAGGAAAAATAATAAATAATTATTGGAAAAAATAACAAAAGGCTCTTTTTTATATGAGATAGAAATCAATTCTTGAGTTTATCTTTCAGACCTCAAACATTTTATGTTTAATGTAATGTATGCAAATCAGCATTGAAGACCATATACATATAACATGTATATAATATATGCATATATTTTATGTCTTAAAAGTTGTTGAAATTCATGCTTTCTGAAATTTAAATTTGTAACATTTAATTTTTATTTTGGCTTAGGTAATTTGGTCAGTAAAAAATGTAGTTTATTGTTGAAGATAATGCTTTTCATATCTCTCTTTACACTTACCAGTAATTAAAAAGTCAAACAAAATAAAATAGATTAAATTTGTTCAGTCAATTAGATTCAATAAATTAGATTAAAAAGTCAAACAAAGTAAACGAATATTTAGTTGGGCCTTTTGTTAATGAATGCAATTATCATCTTGCTCAGAGCCCATCTTCATATTCAGCTTGATTCTGCTCCTTTGAAAGAGGCCAGAGTGGGCACACTGTATACTGACACCTGCCTAATTCCTGTGCACTTTACATAGAAAAATAAACCTGTACATTTTCTTTTTTTTATTTTTAATTGCAATTACTTCTAATTGAGTATTTTCTGTAACATCCAATTAGATGTACTCGTGCTTACTGTGACACTCAGTCCACTGTCTCTTCTGCTGCTATGGCATAACCTAGATTTCTTTTGGTGGGGGGCTCAGTCCTACTTGATAGGTACACCTGACTGACCCAAATCAGCCTTTGTCATACCAGATGTTTTCAGTACAGAAGTAACAAATACAACTGGCATAGTAGTATTAATACCATACAAAGAAGGATTGACAGGTAAAATATACATTGCTAGGCTAACTATCACTTCAAGATGCATATAATATGATGTTGAAATATCTAAAACAAAATATCTTAAAAATATAAGACAATCCTGACAAAATCATAGTCATCAGAACCAAAAACTTCAAAGCATCTCAGTTTTGAATCTGTCAACTAAACAAAATCAAACTAGAACTAGAAGAATTAATAAAAGAGTAAGTGCATTTAATAGCATATGTTGAACATTGTACTTTATGAAGAAAGAATATAGATTTTTTGAAATCATTCATTGTTAGATTTTAAGAATATATAAATCTTATACCTAAATTTTACCATTAAAGAATTCTTCAGAATACAATTATACAAATCATAATTGGTGACTAAAATTCAATAATAGAATAAAATGATAAAAAAATCAATAACTAAAATAAATTAAACCCAAATAATTAAAAAGTAAGTAAGTGAATATTGTATCAAAGAGGAATTGTAAACTGTTATTAACTAGTTGGTAAACAATCCCAAGCCACAATTCTTATCACACTTATGAGATATAACCATTCAGAGTAAAATTCATAACTTTAAATGCTTTATTAAACAAGAGTGAATTATGAATCAAATTAAAAAGTACAACTTATCAACAAAATATAGAAAAGCAAAAGAAATGAAAAGTAGAAATTAACAAATTAGAATAAAAAGTAAATATATATATTAATCCAAAACATTTTGTTTTGATGAAACAAAATAAGTAGATACCTCAAAAAACTGCTGGAAAAATAAAAATGGGAAAATATAAATACAAATCTTAGCAATTTGGATGGAATTAAAACCACATATAGACACTAAAAAAAAAGTTTGAAAGTTTTGATAAAATAATAGATTTCTATGAAATCAAGCATTATTAATAATGAATCAAGAAGAAACAGAAATGAGTGGACAAAAAACAACTAAGTTCTGGAAGTCCTACTTTGCATTCCCATCTTGAGCAGTATTCTGACTTTTAAAAATTTTATTTTAGAAAACAAAACATAAAATTAGTTAATTTTTAGGTTCATTGAATTTCATGTGGACAAGGAAAATAAAAAAGAAATTTTATTTCTGGTGTTACAAAAAGAGCATAAACATAATTCTAAAACAAACAAAATAGTTCACCCACCACAACTATAACCCTATTTCAAAATTATAGATTCCAAGCTATTAAAGAGACTATAGAATATGGAATTCAATTGTTTGTTTTAAAAAAGCAGTATACAATGACCACTTAAGAATATGTAAGCGATCCAATTATGAGGACATCATATTATAAATTATATTAATAGATACAAGATGTTACTTTAAAACATATGCATAAAAATTTAGCATCTATGCTTGAGACATGTATGTTTGAAAATATTGTTAAGCCCCATCTTTTAGAATTGACAAGGAGAATGGATTTTGAAACAATTGGAAACTAAGATCTGGCAAGTTAATGTAATCTGGATGCCATGGAGTTAGATGGGTCAAAAGTGAAATAGGTGCTTACAGTTAATTAGGCAAAGTGGGCAACATAAAACTAAACAGGCAAAAATACCTAAAAAATACCTAAAATCAAGATAGGACAAAGACCCCTTTATCCAAGCTTTCACATATCTGTGCAAACCTAGTTACCTTTCTAGTCAGTGTTTATTCTCAATAAATGTTAGACACATTTTTCTTTTCCTTAATGGTAATGATTTGTTTTTCATTAAGATATTTTCAACTGAAATTTTCTAACATATTTACAACTCAAAAAGGAAAACATGAAAAACTAATTATAAACATTATATACAAATATATAGACCATATACAGACTGAAGGCATTTAAAAACTCTTATTACTAAAAGGTTAGTCTTCCAAAGTCTGTATTGTTTCAAAGTAACACTGTACACAAAGCTGATAGTTACCGTACACTGTGTATGGTAGAATTGTTTTTTGTTTGTACCTAAGTTTTTAAGTTCCTTAGTAGAATTTCTGGATCCAAATGCTTTTTAGAAATGACATGAGTAACTAATCACTGTAGAACCGGCTGTTATTAAATATGTACCACTGGAGGGCAATCATACATTGGTAAGTTAAAACACCCTTTGCATTTACTGGGTAGACTGGTGAACTAACTGTTGAAAGTAATTCATCAGCCACTGAAAATGATGAAGTAGTGGAGTAATGCAGAGAGTGTATGTTGGCTCTGCCTTTGCACTGTTGAAAGGGTGAAGTGGACAATACCAAAAAGCAGGAACTGTAAGCACACTCCAATGGAGTGTGCTCTAAACAGTTAACACGTGGTACTGGAGGTGGCAGGTTACCTGTGTTAGAGTCTCATTTCATCTTTGCAAGTTCTGTCAGT